ACAAGCAGCAACAATATTTTTTGAGTTTTTATACAAACAACTATTAGCAATCTATAAAGTAAATCATCCTTTAATTTAAAAACCTTGGACAAGTTGTGCATGAAATACGTGCATTTTTTGTTCCTCAAGGCTTAAATAAACCCTAAAGGAGTTTGAACTTCACATCAAGCAACTGTTTCGGATTCCTAAAGATGTCGGCACACGCACAATCATCCATACTCGCTTAAAGTCACCTCAAAGTTATGCATCTCCAGACGTGGAACAGTGCACGAACTTACAAAAAAAAAATCACATACTAACTGACAGGCAAAATGGGGCCTCCTATATCACGATGATAACCTTTTAACCTTCATGCTTGGTTGGACATCTTCAGTATAACTAGGCTTAACATTTATTTCAGGAAAACCATTTAGTATTCAAAACTTGCTAGTTTCAGGATATATGCACTATATTACATATTTATTGTAATTTTGATTTACTTATCAGTGGATTAAAACAGATTACGAGTTTAAATAAGTCAGTCCTGAAAACAAGTTATTATAATAGCCATCACATTTAAAGGGATTTTTCATCCCCAAAACAAATCTGTTATCATTTACTAACCATTTACTTGTTTCAAACCTGATTGACTTTCTTTCTTCTGTTGAACACAAAAGAAGATATTTTGAAGAAAACTGGAAACCTAGCTTTCATAGTATTTATTTTTCCTAGTATAGACGTCAGTGGTTTTCAATCTTATGTGTTCAGCAGAAGAAAGAAACTCATAAAGGTTTGGAACCACTTGAGGAAAAGTCAACACTGAGTACATTTAGATTTTTGGGTGAACTATCCCTTTGAACAGAAAACTGATTTATTCAATTTAATTGTATTTATAATGCACTTTAAAACAACACATTGCTGACAATAGAGAGTAAAACAAAGTGTAGTACATACTTTACACATTAATAAGTCCATTCATACATTTATGGGTACATTAATTTGTAACATATTTTCTTTTCCTTTCCAGTTTGTTCCTGGATACAGATATCAGGAGATCCCTCTGACGTTTATGAGTATGTACTGTATATTGAAAACTTTCAATCAATTCAGTTTTTTATAAAAGTTACATTTTTTTATTGATTTATTTCACCTTTTTCCCTCTTTAGGAAGAGTCATTACAGGTAATTAATGCAACTGGAACTCATTACAAATGGCAGAACTAGATTAGCGCTGTATGTTGCATGAAAATGTTTACTGAATGTTGTTTTTGTGTGTACATCTGCAGTTCCAGGTGATGTTACGAAAGTGACCCGAGTTATCCAGGGAGAGCCTACCATCACCAAAGTGACACGGGTGATTGAGGGTGCACCAAGCGTTACCAAGGTCACTCGTGTGATTGAGGGTCAGCCTTCTATCACTAAAGTCACCAGGGTGATCGAAGGACAGCCATCCTTGACCAAGGTTACGAGAGTCATCGAAGGGGATCCAAGTATGACCAGAGTCATTGAAGGTGAATATAATGTTCAATAACTCACCTTTGCTAGAAAACTTGAGTAAAAAGCTTTGTTTTAGCCATCGGTTATAGGCCAATAAGTCTACTCGATTACGATCAAAAAGTAATTGCAAAAACATCTTTTTAATGCAAATGAATGCAAAGCTGCAATAATTCACACAAACCGAAACACAAACCAGAAAGATTTTCATTTTTAAATACATGTAGCCTGCTAAATGTTATGTACATTAAAGAGAGTTAGAATTCTAAGACTGCTGTTCTTTTCTTTTAGACACCGAAAAGCCATTTAAAAAGCTCTGTGTTTCGGTGGAAAATTAAATGCTATACAAATGTTGTGTACACTGTAAAAAATGTTGGGTTCCACACAACTCCTTCATATTGTCCCAACATGAATGCAATAAGTTAATTTATTAAAAACTTAATTGTTTTTACAAACTTAAGTGGATTAAACATGAAACAATTAATCTGTCCACCAAAAATCTAACAATTGTGTAGGAACTCATTTTAAATAAGTAGTTTGCACAATCAGCAAAAGTCTTGTGTATATATTGAGTGTATAGGTAGAACACTGTAAAAAATGCAGGGTTGCACAATTTCTTCATGTTGCCCCAATACAAATCAATAAATTTTACAAATGTTGGTGTATTTAAATGCATATACCAAAATAGAAAGTGTCTTACATGCAAGTAAAGTGTCTAATGTCTCTAATAATGTTTATAATGGTAAAATAATCCTCTACTGTTATTCGGGGATGTCTGTATGTAAAATGGAAACAACATTTAAATTTTATATATATATTAAATGAATACAATTTACCAAAATATATAAGTAAATACATGATTTAGGATAAGTATAAGTAGGTAAAAGCACAGTGGGTTAGCAGAAAGATTTTAAATTGACAATTAATTGGTGTTTTAGGGCTTTACTGTGATTCTTAAAGTATTAGATAGCATTAAATGATTATTGTAAAAAAAAAATATCTGACAAGATATTGTTACACTGAATGGCATTTTAGTGGAGGCCTTTTGTAAATCATAGGAAAAAATATGACAGTAGTTTCTTTTGCAAGAAAAACAGCATTTTAATGTTATCAATTAAACGCGGCATTTTTTAAAGAATGAACAAAGTTACATTACACAAATATTGCTCTCATTTCTGAAACCCCTTTTTCATCATTAATCCTTACAGTTTATTTATACATAAAAATATGATTGTTTTTTCATGAGAACATGGGAATGTTTACAGTTATTGAAGTTTCTTCTTGCTTAAATTATATACTATTTATTTAACTGTTTGTTTTACTAATTATGATATTAGCATTGATACTATCTCATAGTGGTCATTTCTTAGCTCCTAAATTTCTCAATAGGGTATTTGCAGAAGTATGCAAAAGGACTTTTAATTTGTCAGGAGCCTGGGTCAAATGCTTTGAATTTGATTGTGCGAGTAAAAAATGAGCACAAGACCCCAAGATCTTCACTTATAAACCAATTATAATCTTCCACAAAGATGCTCCTCCCCAAATCCTAAATGATAAAGTGAGTGTAACCTGCTTTTCATCTTATTTTATGCTTGAACAACTAAATGAACGCTGAAGCCTATTTAACTGATTGTGTTTTAATTACATTACAGCATGTATGCTGTAAAAGGAACCGTATACAATTGAAAAAAGTCACATTAATCGTTCATCAGAATTTTATCAATATGGGAAGAAACACCACCTCTGCATATACCCTAATGCCCTTTTCACCAATACAATTGCAGACAATAAATAATTTAGACATATGGTTTGGAGTTTTCTTTTGTAATGCACAGATTTTACAAAAGTGGGCCTGTTAATTGAAGAAACACACTGGAAACAATGAACAAAAGTGCAATGTGTTTCTTTTTAGTCATACTCATACTCCAAATGTTTGGTGATCCTCCAAAAGACTGGAAATATAGCTATGAAAAAACAGCTCATGTGATGTTTTCCAACAATCCTCAGGAAACCCATCCTTTCCCAGCCCTGGATTTCACAATGATTGACCCCTGCTTAATGTTTTGTATCAACAGGTCCTGAATATTCAGTCACCAGCTCCACCGATACGGAGCTTTATGGTAGTGTGACACGTTGAACCCTTTATTAGCATGCTAGCATCAGCGCTAACAGTCGACTCCACTTTGTTCTCCTCATTAAACATCTTTTCCCCCCCATAAAGTTTGACACTTTTCAGGTTACAGAATTCTGTTCTGGTTTTGCTAAGGGTACTGGTAAAAAACAACTGAACCTTTTCTTTCCTCAATTTTTGGGAACTGTTGGTACTGGCTACAGAGTAAACACCGGCCCACTAAACTTTTCCTCCTTTTTCCCCTTTCCTTCTTTTTCCTTATGTCTAACAAGATAAAGTCAGTATTATTGATTGTTACTTTTTTTCTTCTTCTTCTTTCCTACTAGATTTCGGTGAGGACTCTGAGGGAATCACTACATTCATTCAGGGTGAGATGCTGAAATTTGCAAAAAATAGATAGTATCAACATAGTACCAACAAAGGTAGATAGTACCAACATGACTGACATTTTTGTCTTTTGATCCTCTGTTTCCAAGAGGGAACAAGAAGAGTGCCTCCAAGAAGAGTGCAAGGTAAATTTTAGGGTGTAACAGTACACAAAAATTATGATTTTGTAAGTTCCTCAGTTTGAAGACACATAGGGCTCAATTTTAAAGATCTAGGTGCAAAGTCTAAAGCGCATGGTGCAAAAGCATTAAGAGAACGTCTGAATGGAAATACTGTCTGTGCCCGGGCGGATGGTCTAACAGGGTTGTGCTTATGCTCTTAATGAGTTCTTGGTGTGTTTTGAGCGTAATGTGCATTAAACCAATCAGAGTCTCCTCTCACATTCACTTTAAGAGTCAGTTGTGTTGCACCGTGGCGCATTTGCCGTTTGCATTTACTATTTACAGACTTTGTTAGTGAAAAAACTGAACACTTCACTTGCGAGAAAACAGTCAAACAGACCTTCTGCAGCACAAGGATAAAGAATAAGGCCCTTCCATATGGCCTCTTTTACTTTCTCTTTACTTTTACTCCTTTACTTTACTCCTTTACTTTTGTGGAAAAGGAAACTTACTCCACTGAACAAATTTCACTGAACTTACTCCTACATAATTAATTTCATTTGTTAATATTTGAGCTCAGGTAGATCTCGAGAACTCCCCTGCTGTGGTAGCTAATGAACAGATAGTGATTGCTCTTATGAGATGACTACTTACTAGGAGCATGTCTATAGTGCTAATTTAGAAAGGTCAATTAACTTAAGTTGCACGTTTTTGGACGGTGGGAGGAAACAGGGGAATCCAGAGGAAACCCACGTGAGCATGGGGAGAATGTGTAAACTCTGCACAGAAATGTTGGCTGGCTTGGTAAAGACTAGACATTGATTTTGCTTCACTAATAAGACAAAAAGTACAAAAGTAGCTAACACAGTGCTTTACACTTTCATTCATCTGTAAATATGGCACGTATAGCTCAAGGTCAGGAAGTTCTTAGAAGATAAGATTGTCCATCATTATTATTTTTTAATGTGTTTTTTTTTTTCAAGATAAATGAATTTTTAGGCTATATACAGTTGAAGTCAGAATTATTAGCCCCCCTGAATTATTAGCCCCACTGTTTATATTTTTCTCCAATTTCTGAATAATGGAGAGAAGATTTTTTCAACTCACTTCTAATAACTGATTTATTTTATCCTTGCCATGATGACAGTAGATAATATTTGACTAGATATTTTTCAAGACACTTCTATACAGCTTAAAGTGACATTTAAAGACTTAACTAGGTTAATTAGGTCAACTATGCAGGTTAGGGTAATTAAAAAAAAGTTAAAACAGCTTTTATTCTAGCCGAAATAAAACAAATAAGACTTTCTCCAGAAGAAACAATATCTGACATATTGTGAAAATGTCCTTGCTCTGTTAAACATCATTTGGGAAACATTTTAAAAAAGAAAATAAAAAACAAATGGGGGGCTATCAATTCAGACTTCAATTGTATAATATATATGGCTATAAAAAATCCTACAAGTTATAAAACAGATTAAGCCTAAGCCAGGTCCAAAAAAGTCACGCAAAAGTAACATAAAGACTCCAGCTGATCTATCCTGGAGACCCTATCTACTGGACATTAATAGTTTGGAATACACCACAGCCAAAATAAATGGTGTCAGTAAGAAAACTGTACAATGTTGGTTAAATATGAGAAAGACTGTATCAGATATGTTTCAATCCTATTATTGCAATATTTTTAATTTTCTTTTACTTTTTGTTGGCTGGATCTCGAGCTTTGTTCACAATCAAAAATGTTCAATAAAAAAAGAATTTAAAAGAAAGTAATGTAACGCATTACTTGTCATAAGCAATAACGCAACTAGTTACTTTTTTGGGGAGTAACTCAATATTGTAATGCATTACTTTCAAAAGTAACTTTTCCCTGAAACTGAATTGCGCCATCATTTTTGGTTGAGAACTCAAGTTGCTCTTTATTATTAGATTATTAGGCAAAAATGTTTTTTTATATTATGTCTACTATGCTTAAATTTGTTGAAAGATAATTAATTTTTGGCTTGTATTTTTAAAATTTATTTAAACATACATAAAAAACAAGATATTAATTATTAAATTTAAGTAAAATATAATTAATTGATGAGTTATAACAGTGCAAATGCTTCTCAAACAAACAGCAGACACTGAAAAACTTCCTGAGATAAATGTAATGCTCTATCACATTGTGCAATGCTATATATGTGTAAATACCAACAAAATATCATGACAATTTGTAACTTTTTGATTTAATGGAATTCATACAATCTCATTGGTATAATTTAGTATGATTTTTTCACCCCCCTATGACGGTTGGGCTTAGGGGCGGGGTTCAGTGCCCATAAGATCCAAGTGGTGCTCGCTGCAGAGCCATTTGAGGAGAGGTGAGCTCCAGAGAGGGGGAGCTTAAGCTTGAGCTCCACCTTTTTTGCACTTCTTCTACGAGTGATGTCACTGGGGGTAGGGTTAGGGGTGGGGTTGGTGTACGCATTAAAACAGCTTACAGGAGGAGGAGCGACAGCTCATGCTCCCCCTCTCTGGAGCTCACCTCTCCTCAAATGGCTCTGCAGCGAGCACCCTCTCATAAGATCAGGCTCTTAAATATGTATATTGTTTATCCTTAACCTAAATTAATTGCTTTTCATGATATGTTTTGGCTGCTGATGACAAATAAAATTAATTAATGTGCAAAAGCAAAGTTTTGATCATCTCTGTTGTTCTATTTTTAGGAGGCGTCCGGAGGAGAACCTAGAACTTGAGCAGACACAGTGAGCACAAGCAAAAGAAAAAAAAAGGCCTGAAGAGTATTTCATATACTTCCTTCATTTACTTGCACAATGATCCAGAGCCTATTAGGTTGGAGTTGAGTTTAAGACAAACAAAGAAACAACCTCATTGCTTTGTTTAAGTACATTTAGTCCAAACAAGCATATGAAATTTCCCATGTGTGTGTAAATATTTGAAACTTTTTTTGGATTTGTTCTTAACTGTGGCTGGAAACAGTTTGACGTGTAAGTGCTCTTATGTGACAGGATACATAAAATATCTGATGTTTTTATGCTACATCAAATCAGAAACATTTGGACAACCTTTATATGTGGAGTATCAATACTCTTTAGGCATCAAAAAAAGTAAATAAATAGAGAATGTTCATACGAAATACATGGTGCAGGGAACAGATGCCTTAAACCAGAAATACGAGTGTATTTTTCTGGGATGCGGTTTAACCGTTGCATGGACAATGATTTCATGGTGCTCATGTTTAGATGGTGTAAAATCTAAAATACTGACAGGAATTAAGTTTTGTTTTCAAATCTAAAACCTTTTCTTTGTATTTCTTTTGTGGTGGAGAGGGTTGATTGTTTTTCATTTTCACGGTTTTAGTGTTTTGTTTGTGTATGTAAAGTGTGTCTCCTTTTTTGCATTACCTGTGGACAGATGTGCTCAATCCTTTTATCTCAAACTGAATGTTCACTTTACCAATTCAAATTTAATTTGACTTAAACAGGTTTTGGCTCCTTTGCATTTATTTTCAAATTCCATAATAAACTCAACTTTTAGACATGGAATTGTGTCAGTTTTTGCACTACCTTTTAACACACACACTCACATAGCTACAAGTTTCTTTATGTCATATGAACTCAAGGTTTTATTTGTCTACCATACAGGAATTAATTTCTGAGACTGATGCTCAGTAAGAAAAATGGTTAGCACAAACTTGATTAGAATACCAACACCGTAAAAAAATCCTGGTTGCCTTACATTTTTAAGCTGAATCAAATTAACCTTTTGAGTCCATTGAACTTATATTATGTTAAACTGACTTAAAACAGCTTGTGTAACTTATAATATTAAGTTAAAACATGATTCACTTAGTTTAATAAGTTGCAATGACCTAAAACATATGTTGTCAGAAGTAATTGATCATATAATTTTTACCATGTACTGTAGGCATCTGGATTATATTTTATATCCAATCTGTAATTAATTTATTACAATTAAAATTTCAAATTCTCAAAAATCTCAATTTATTATATGCATGAAATGAAAATAGAGAAGAAAACAAAAAAAAATCTCTAGATCAAATGAAATACTTCATAATTGGCTAAATGTTTTTTATCCGAAGGGACTTACATTGTGTTCAGTCTATACGTTTATTAGTCCCTGGATCAACCTTCGTAATTGCTAATGCATTACCAAAGCAGCTATAGAAATTTACAAAAAGTTACCCTTACACAGATATTTCTTCACTGTACTCACAAGCTGTGCAAACTTATACAGTATCTATTAACATCAGAGGTGTAAATATTTACTGGTATAATTGCACATGCATAAATTCATTATTACCCTCACTGAAATAAGGAAATATGTGAAACCATTGTGCTTAGATCTAAGTAAATACTGCCAAAATTGATATCCGTGCCCCAAGTGTGGATTGTGGACAGAAATTCATGATTATTTTTATTTACATCTTGTCAAATGATAAATTATATTCATAAAGTGCACTGTAAGGATAAGTGATTGTAAAGCCATTGTTTTTGTCATTATGCGACCTGTCTGTTACAATGCAATTGCATTATTTATTTATAACATTTTTACATATAAATCTGATCCACCATGCAACTTGGTGTGTGCTCCGATCCGCTGAAGAATAAAGAGCTCAAGCGGGTTATAACAAAAACTAATGTCTGTTAGTTTTAATCTTTTGACTTCATTTTAGTCTTGTCATGTTATAAAGTTATACCATGGTAAAATGTTATTTGTAATATCACATATTTGACTTAATGTAAATAACATGAAGGTGAGCAAAGTGTAAGTTGAGCTTACAACTCTGGGACATCCTTGAAATGTTACCCCCAACCCCAAGCAAAATTGAACTGTTTGAATGTATTCAGTATCCCAATAGCTCAAAGCCAAAGCAGTCTGTTTTCAGACCTGTCCTCCGAGCCTCTAAATCCTGCACACACGAATTGTGTTCAACAGTTGAAGTTGCACATTTGCACGTTTTATTCAGCGTTGTAACACAGAGACACACACCAATTATACTGAAAGCTCAAGTGTTGAATACAAAATTTAAAGCAAAACAATAATATTAATAATTTAACTTATTTTATAATGTTACATCTCAACCCAGCCTATTGAGTGAATTGTAATCACTCCTCCTGTTTGAAAATAAATTGCAAACAGGTCTGTCAGCCTCTTTTATGATGTAGTGTTGGCTATTATATAATATAACACTTCAGGAGAGCCATTGATTGGACACTATATGGTTGGTTGGTGGTCTATAAAACAAAACATTTCACCTTTTGAGTGCTTTTAACCAATTAACACAAGTAAACAATTAGACTTACAATTACCAAACAATTGTTAAAGATTTGATGCAAGTTTAAGTAAACTACGTAATATTGTTAGATTTTAATAAGCAGGTCCTTAATGATCTTCCTTGTGAAGTGCTGCAAAAGTTACTAAAATTATTGACGATTTTGCTGTCGTTACTTAGAAATTGTGCTGACGATTGAGTTCAGATTGCAGAGCAGAGTGAAGACCTACAAACATACAAATTACTCTACATACTTGGGATGGGATTTGCGCTCCTAAAAGGTTTGGAATGACGTGGGCGAGTTATTGGGTCTTTCGTCATTCATCAGTGTCAATGGAGGGGGACAAGATGGCGGGCTGAACGCATGCGTTTTCACCGAGCAGCCTAGCGAAACTTCTAGTTTATCTTTAGAATTCAAAAAATTTTCATCTTCACCTACCTAAAACAACATTTAAACACCACAGGGGTGTTTAACATCGTCAAAATGCCGAAATCTTCACAGCAGACTACCCACCCAAAGATATACATCACTTCAGTGAAGGACGCGGCCTCAGATCCAGAAATGGAGGTACAGACGGCTAAAACAGACAAACGGCGTGATGCATCCCATTTCACCCCGACCAAAGACAACGATAAAAAAAAGCTAAAACCTCATGATGATGACATCACTAACGCAACTCTCTTGCAAGCCATAACATCACTGACAGCTCGTTTTGACGTACAAAATGAACAGTTAGAAGACATGGCGAATCAGATGCGAAAGAACAGTATCATGGTGGTAGAGATTTCTAAGGCGGTTGAATTCAATGCCGCTGAAATTAAAGATTGCAAAGAAAAATGTGCAGAAGCGAGCAAATCACTCCTATATCTAACAACATCACACAAAGACCTGGCGAGCAGAACGTCAGAGCTAGAGCGATATAAAAGGAGGTGGAATCTCCGGATCAACGGGATGAAAGAGAAGCCCGAGGAGGATGCTCGTAAAGAAACGATTGCCATGATCGCTGAAATTGCTCCGCATTTGATTCATAAATTAGAAGACATTGTTGACACAGTGCACCGAGTTGGCAAGAAGGAGTTAGGTAAACCCAGGCAAGTGATTGTGCAGTTCACAATGCGTAAATACAGGGACGAAATTTGGAGGTCTACTAAAAATTCATCTGTGTGCCGCGACCACGGAGTTCGTTTCACGGAGGATATGACGAGGGAGGACCGGCTGGCCCGCGCTGCGCTGTGGCCTTTGATCGATCAGGCGCGAAAAGCAGGAAAGATAGCCTACTACCGTGGACCGTTCGGGTATATTGAAGGGAAGCGCATTGACGCCGCATGACTGTGTAGTTGTCCTTTTATGGTAGGACAGTTTGAAATATGACTGTTAAGAAACGCTAGGCTGGGAGGTATGCTCTGTTGTGGTTATAACTGTTTGGGGTTTATACCACCCGTTCTGAGATTTCCTCTTTTGTGAACAAATTTCTGTTATTTTATTTCATCTTTTGCTATTTTTGTTATGTTTCCAGTTAAGTTCAAAATTTCTCTCATGTCACTTAACGTCAGGGGCATCCAAGATAAAGTCAAACGTAAAGCAATGTTCTTATTTTGTAAAAGTAATGGTTCTCAATGCATTTTTTTACAAGAGACACACTCAACTGTTTCAGACTCTTCGTTTTGGTCTAGTCAATGGGGAGATAAAGTTTTACTTAGCCATGGTTCCTCCCACTCGGCTGGTACTGCAATTTTATTTAATAACTGTCCAGGGAAAATAATTTCTGCTAAATATGACCCTAATGGACATTGGCTAGCAGCGGTGTTAGATATTGAGCACTTTTTTTTCATTCTGGTAAACGTATATGGTTACAATAATTCTAAATTGAATCAAAATTTATTGCAGGAAATATCCTCTGTAATTTCCGATTTAAAGAGATCATACCCTACAGAAAATATTGTTGTGGGTGGAGACTTTAATGTGGTACCGGATGAAACTTATGATAGATATCCTCCTAAAAGCACATCTTCTCTGCTAAATCCCTTGGTTTCCAAATTCTGTTCTAACCTTAAAATAATTGATGTCTGGAGATATCTTCATCCTAGCCTTAGGCAATTCTCATGGTTTAGACCCAATGCAGCCAGCAAATCAAGAATCGATTATTGGTTATTATCAGATAACTTACTTTTATTTGCTAAAGACTGTACAATGTCTGCAGCACCTTTAACAGACCACTGTTCCATATCCTTAATAATACAAACAGATCATACCTCATCAAAAACTAAGGGTTATTGGAAATTTAACTCTGACTTAATTAATAATGAAAAATTTTGTCTAAAAATAAGGGAGCTAATTCTAGATATTAAAAACAGTAACAATTTTAGTTCTAATAAAGCCAGATGGGAATTTCTTAAATATAAAATTCGTGAATTCTCTATTAATTACAGTAAAATACTTGCCAAAGTCAGGAAACAACAGGAACTTAATATTATTTACGAAATTAATAAATGTTGTAATGATAGTACATTAACTGAGTTAGAAAAGACTAAAATAATCTCTTTACAATTAGAACTTGACAACCTCTACATTAAAAAAGCTAAGGGTGCCTATATACGTTCTAAGGCTAAATGGATAGAAGAAGGTGAGAAAAGTACTTCTTATTTCTGTAGATTAGAAAAGAGACGACAACAGAATAACTCAATACTTTCTTTATTAATAAATGGCACAGAATGCTCAGACCCCACTATAATCAGGGAGAACGTTTTTAAATTCTACAGTGACTTGTATTCTTCCAACCTCTCTCATTCTGATTTAAATGAATTTTTTGATAAAATATTACCTAATATTCCCCGTATCAACAATGAGTGGCGAGAAGGCTGTGAGGCCGATTTACAAATTGAAGAACTTGACTCTGCTGTTCAAAAGCTTAAATTGAATAAATCGCCTGGTCCTGATGGTCTCACCGCTAATTTTTATAAATTTTTCTGGAATGATATTAGATCATTACTATTTGATGCTTTCCGTGAATCTATTGAAGATGGATCTTTAGGTCCAAGTATGAACCAAGGTTTAATCACACTAATTCCAAAACCTGATAAAGACTTAAAATTGATTGATAACTTTCGCCCAATCACTTTACTCAACAGTGATTATAAAATTTTCACACACGCATATGTTAATAGATTAAAAAAAGGTATTCATAACTTAATTAACGAATCCCAATCTGGCTTTCTGAAAGGTAGGTCGATTCATAATAATATAAGGTT